TCAGGGCGAAGGCAGCTTCACCTGGACAGGTTGCTGTTGTGACATCAGTATTTAAAGCTCCTGCTGACCCTGGCCTTTGGGTGCTCACTGGTTTATTTGACTTAACGGTTTATTATTTGTGTTTGTTTAATTTGTTCTTTGTCGTTGTTGTTTTTTTCTTATTTTACACATTTGATGTTAGATTATTAATATTATTAGCAGCATATTGTTGTTTTTTATTCATTTTGCACCATTTTTGTTCTTATATTTTCATTTTTTAAAAATTAGTTTAATTTTTCACTATTTTGTTTTAATTTTGAATTAATATCAATAAAAATAGTATTTTATTTGTTTTATTATCAATTGGGAATTCCTGTTATTTGCTGTGTGCTTTGGTGTTAAATTGTTCCATTTATTTCTCTGAGCTTATTATCAGCTGGTCGAGCATCAGTAAGGTTCTGGCTCTGACGGTACTGAAGGTGCTCCACATATGAGGTGTGACTGGTTTGAGAAGCTGAAGCTTTGGCATTCTTTACTAGTTGCCCAGTTATGTCTTGTTTCCATCCTAGTTTATTTATGAAGGCATGTTTAAAGAGGAAGCAGCAGGTACAAAAGAGCAAACGTATTGTGTTTATGTTTGTCAGCGTTGTATTCGACATATTCAACTCTGACATCTTCTGTTCATGCAGGTATCTCACCTGCACCATGTCCTGGTATTCCTGCAGGGCTGTGGTGAGCTTGGCCACCTCCTGACACAAGATGGCGCCGTTCCCCTCCCAGTCCTCCAACAGGGCTGCCAGCTCAGCAGAGCGCTGCCCGCCGTCAGAGCTGGAGGGAGCCTGGTGGAAAACGACATGTTCCTGAAGTGAAACCTCAGCCGAGCCATCAGAGAGACGGAGGTCTGTAGGAGTCCGTTAGTCAGACGGAGAACTTCACTTTGTGTCATTTACATCCATTTAACCCCAGCTGTTCGTTGTTAGTGGCAATAGAGACAAACATGTTATCTTTACTAGACAGCTGATAGACGCTCGTTAGTCCAACACACACATGGCCTCTGCATCATGTCTTACACTTGAGGTTACTGTAGAGCGCTCACTAAGCTAGAAGTAGATGAGCTGGCCTCACAGAAGCTTATCATGTTCATTTTACTTCCAGCCTTCTGCTGGTGCTTCATGTTCACCTCCTTGTGACAGACCTCCAGCTGCTCTCTGAAGCTGTGGATCAGAGCCTCCTTCTCCTGCAGGACAGCAGCGAGGGCTCCGTCCCGCTGCCTCCACACCTCACGCTCCTTCTCCACCTCCTTCAGCAGGAGCTCCTTCTCCCCCAGAGCCACCCGCAGGTCCTACAGGGAGACAAGAAAGAAATGCTGCATCTAGACCGGACTTCAGGTACATGCAGCAAGTGCACATGTAGACAGAATGTGGAGAGTAGGGACCATACGTCAGATAATTCATCTCAGTAGAGGTGGTGGTAAATAGTGACAGATTGACTGATGAAGCTGCTGCAGCAGCGTGTAGGTCAGCTACGAGGATGATCTGCTATCAAAGCACTGGGAACAGATGAGTGATGTTCAGGTTCGTTACTGTGGAAGGCTGCAGCTCGTTGGCTCTGTTTAATGCTTTATGTGTCACTGACTTTAAATCACGTTACATGTTGTTCTGTTTCATTTCAGATTTAGCACCCAGGTGTTTATTTAATGTAGCTGAGCTGGTTTTACATCAGATATTAAACACCAGAGGCTAAAGTGATTTCATTTTAAAGATGAATTGATCACTGATGAGTTGTGAATGTGATCATCTGTTTACAATCAGAGCAGAGCGTCGCCGATACACTTCATCCCTTTAACGTTGTAGGAAGCATGCCAGAGTCCTGCTGCTCCTGAACGTAGCAGCGCCTCTGCTCCCAGCCTGTGCTAGCGTTTCAACATCCTGACTGAGCACCAGGGCAGCGAGCTACACCGGTCAGCCGCCAGAACCTGGCGCTGCAGAGGGAATCAACAGGCAGACAGCAGAGAGCTCTCTGTGGATCTGTACACGTGGTGAGAAACACACCTGTTGCTCCACCTTGTTAAACAGTGAGAGGCTCCACCTGGTGGAGCAGTCAGGCACTGCGGCGAATCAGCAGTACCTTCTCTGACGTGTGTTCTCCATCTTCTGCCTCATCGGTTTACGTACGTTTAATTTGTCAACAGCAGCTCGCCAATTTGGAACTGCTGATGAGCGCTGCTGTGCAGAGCATGCGGTGTGCTTTCACCATACCGCGGTGCATCTCGGGTTGCTGATGTGCTCTTACGTTGATGATGTCCTGGTTGCACTGCAGCACAGTGTTCAGCGTGTTGAGGTCTCTCTCTCGGTCTCGTCCAGCCTTCCTCAGTGCCTCCATCTCTTTCTCCGTGCCCTTTTCCTTCTCTGTCCATTCGGATTTCAAAGTCTCCAGGGCAACCTGCAAGTCAAAACGCATCACGTCTCCATCCTGACTGGAAAACAGTGTCTGTAGAGCTGAAACAGTTGGTTGATCAACAGAAAAGAAATGTTTCGGTGATTTGTTTTACTCAAAGCAGTGTTTAGTCTCAACTATAATCTGTCCAGAGAGCCAGGGAGTTAACTGAGGTGCTCCTGGTTAAACGTCCTGCAGCGCTGGGGTAAGAAAAGTACCCATCACAAGACCTCCAGCTCTCAGAGAACAGTCAGGCTGCTGACTGTCAGCAAAACCCTGTGTGCTTCTGCTGAGAGCTGCCATGCTCCAGCGAGCAGACAGTATGTGTCATCCTAAGCAGACCAACACTGCTGTAATGTCAGTAGCGAGGATCAACGCGGCCGACAGCAGCAGCAGCTCTAACCTTGTTCTCAGACAGAAGTTCCTTCAGCGTCTCGGTCAGTGTGTCAGTCAGCTTGTTGGCCAGCTCAGCGCCTGCTCCGTCCTCCACACACAGCCTCCTGATCAGACCCATGCACTCCTGAAAAACGCAAATATCTGTCTGCAGACACGTTCAGGAAAGACGGTTGAACTGTAAGATTCAAATCTTATGAAACCATTTTGAGCCAAATCAGAAATAACCAGAGGCAGCGATTCAACATGTATGCAAAGGAGGATGAGTGCAGTCACCAGACATGCTCAGATCTGTTTAGACCCACAGGATGAGCTGCAGGAGATCAGAGAAGTAGAGCTGGCTATAGGGACAGAGTGGTAAAGCTGAGCATTGATGGTGGTTCTGTGGTCTACTGTGTGTTTACTGTGCATGAACAGCTCCTGTCTGATGGAAGCTACACGTGCACGCTTTGGTGTCGCTGCATACTTTAAAGGAATAGTTCAACATGTAGGAAACTGGCTTATTCACTGGCTTGGTGAACGCTGAATCACCTGACTCAAGCTTCTTAGCTTAGCTTAGCATGAAGTGTAAGTCCAGTCCAGACAGCAGATAACCGTTAATGGAGCACAGTGCTGAACCAGACCTGTGCTGCAGTCACTCACTACTAATCATTTACTAGTGTGTAACTCATCCAATCACTCTCTGCTTGAAGAAGACAGTCTCTCTGATTGGTTGGTCCTGTTTGTTTTGGTCGTTCATCCAGAATGACTCACAGTGAGTCCAATGACATTCCTGCAGTTGATCACAAACATAACAAGCAGCTGAAAGCAGGACAGTCTTCATCAAGCGGAGCCGGCGCAGGTTTGGCTGCTGCCGCTTTAAGGGCGTTCAGCGACTTCAAAGACAAACAACATTCCAGTGAGCTTTGAGCCTCACAGCAGCAGAAGATCCCACCGCTGCTCCCCTCATCACATACCTGGACCAGGCGCTCCCGGCTGTGCAGGGAGCGGCCGAGGCTCTGCAGCAGGGAGCTGCCACCCTCCTCCTGGATGAGCTGCAGACCAGAAACAATAAGTGGCTTTATTTAAAAGTCATGGCATTCAGCTGTGGTGCTACTGAACCACTGTGGATCTGCATGTTGCTCAGCGCCACACCAAAGGGCGGCCACATAGCGCGACAGCTACTGTTGTCACTGATTCATCGCCAAATTATTTCCTTAGCTTGGTCTACAATGTGGTGCTCGTCTACCTGATGTAGTTTTGTGAGGCCACTTGGTGTCTGAAATATATAGAACTGGAATTTGCTGGATTCCCATAATGTTTCACTCTGCGTATACCAGCGCTGAGCCATGCATCTGTCCTGATGAACATCTGATGTGATCATTTAGCTTTTTAACATTTCCCTCAGGCGTTGCTGGAGCCTAAAACTGCTAAAAAGAGCTTCATCAGGTGGCTGGAAGTAGGGCTCTGAATGAAGGACAGTGTTTGTTCTGTTGCTGCTGGAGGCTGAACAGGCGACTGTTTGAGAAGAAGTTCAACATAACAGCTGAAAACAGAAATCAGTTATTGCATGTTTAAACCTGCAGCATGTTTAACAGTAGTTCCCATTACTATTGAGCTTGTGAACACAGCAGCGATCGCTCTGACAGATCAGGTCATGTGAACTCTCCCACAGCTGAGAGGCCTGTTAATGATATCCTCCGTCAGAAGACTCCTGCCCCGGGGCAAACTCCACCGGTTGGGGAAGATTCCACTGAGAGGCTGAGTGTGTGTTATGTGCACCTGTAAATGAGGAAGTACAGACACACCCTCCACAGACACAAAGCACAGTCCACCCACCTTCCCTCGCTTTCATAAAGCTATATTTGTGCTGCGTCAACATTCGGAGTGGTTCGTGGAGCCGTTCGAACATGTGACGGAGGAGCTGCTGTGTAATAAACCTGTTTGTCTGCTTAAAAAACAAAACAGTTGGAGGCATCACGCTGTGGCAGCTGGTTATAAATAAATGAATCAGCACTTCAGTCTCCACCTGCAGCAGGTTTAGAGTAATACTGAGTTTTTACACTCCCCGTCTATTTTTTACTCTTGGAGGCCTTTAGGAGTTGAGACCTCAGCTGGTACCTGAGTCCACTACTGCAGCTCTGTGTACTGGTCCAGTAGGTCCAGTACCCAATCTAGACAGGCAACAACATGTGCTGTAGTTTCCAGATTCTTATAAAATGAGTGGCTTTTACTATTTCTACAGAAAGTGCAAAACAGACTTGAATCCTTTGTGTGAACTTGTCCTCGAAGCGTCTAAACTGGTGTTTTAGCTGTGTTGGCTCCTAGAGGGTGACCGCTGTAGTGCTGCTGCTCCATTTGATCACATCCTTTAATCGTTCATCGTGCTGCTACTTGTGATTGTGTTCAGCCAAATTAGATCTTCATGACAGGCGGTCAGTTGTTTGTAAGTGATCAGATCAGATTCGTGTGTCCAGACATGGCCAGCCTGTCTGCACGTGGTAGTAATGTAGGCATGGGCCCTACGTAGCTACACCAGTGCTTCCAGCTTTATCTCTACTACAGCTTCCTCACAAAGTGCAAGCAGGAGATTTATTTTGCAGTCATTCTGCTCAGCGCCTCCGTCAGATGGATTCTGACTTGACCCAAAACACACAGAGACACATTAGAATCACATTTTCATGTGTGGTTTGGATATGATTTGCAGAAGTCACATTTTGTAGGTTTACTTGAGTTGTTCAGACTTTTACAAATCACTCTGGCTTCATTGTGGGTATACCACAAGCAGAGCTGAGCTGGCAGTCTCAGAAAGGCCTGTGTGACCAGTTATCCTCAGGAATATTCCCGTCCAATCTAGCTGAGCTTGGTTCTTACTCTTCTTGAAAATGAATGTGCATGATGGGTTTGAGGACGTGTTCCATGAGTCTGTTTAAAGGCAGGTCAGTATTGTGGGAAACCCTCATTTATTGGCCTTCTGGTTGTTGCTGGCGGAGATCCTCGACTGCCACGGTCCCAGAAATACAGGGCGACAAAGTTCACCTTTCTAGAACACATCCTAAAGTTTAACTAATGCCAGTTTAATTTATTTCACAGTCTGAGTGAGACTTACACTCCAAAGTTAGGTCCTTTCCATTTCTTTGTGTTCATGCTAAGCTAACCGCTACACGGCTCCTTGAACATTTAACCTGCCAAACAGCATGTGTAAGAAATGGAAAGCTTACAGGAGTCCAGTCCTCTGATCCATTGACCTCAGCTGGTCTGCTCTTCCCATGTTTCAGCTCAGCCTCCAGGGTCCTGACGCGGGAGGTAGCTTGGTCGAGTTGACTTCGCAGGTGCCTGATGGCATGGTGAACTCTGGCAGTCGTGTTCTGAAATGGCAAACGGTGTCGTGACAATGGGGTGCAAAAAACTCCAAATACACAAGGAAATGTATAGCTGCAGTCTTGATAAGCTGCTGGACTGGCCTCAGCTGCTCCCGGATTACCTGTTGCAGCACACTGTGTCAATATTTACAGCCACCAGCACACACAGCATCTGGTCAGAGGTCTCTCATTCCTGCACACGCTCAGACAGGGAAGGAAACACTCACCTCTCGATGGAGCGGCATGAACTCGTCTCTCAGCTCTGTCAGCACATCCCCGTCCTCTTCGTCCACCTCATGCCCTCCGTTCTCGGTGTCCCCAAAGTTCAGCTCCCTGTTCACTGTGGGTGACGCCGCCTCTCCAGCTTTTCCGGTGTGCTTCCCATCCCTCCTCCCCAGAACTGGGATCCTGCTCCCTGATGGCGAACTGACCGGCTTCCCTTCAATACTCCTCAGCTCCTTCAGCACAAAGCTGACCGACTGATCCCCCAGTGAGTCGAAAGGGTCATTTCCATCAAGAGAGTCCAGAGACTGGATGGACTCGGTGCGGGAAGGCGCTCGCAGGGAGAGACTGGACCCTGCCAGAGAAGCCGGGCTGGAGCCGAGGGACGGCACCCCGTGCCAGTGCAGGGGCATGCTCCGGGATTTGTCCCGAGACAGCGCCAACGGGGAGAAAGGTTGGAAAGGCAAGCGACGAGGAACCCCACACACGGACTCATAGTCAGAGTCGGACACCCGTAAGGAGTCGCAGCCTTCACATCCTTTGCCCTTTCTGCATCTTTTACCCGTTCTGACAAAGTACGGACACGTGTCCCACTTCTCAGACCAGCATTCATACTCTGAGAGCGCCATGTTCTCTTTGAGCATCTCCCTGTAGCCCTCCTTCTCAGCGTCGCCGTCCTCCTCGCTGGTGCTGCCCCGGTTCTGAGCGTCCCGCGAGTGTCTCTGCCGGTAGTTTTGGCGCACCCACTGCCTGATCTTGTCCCTCTCCTGCATCAGCTTCTGAAGCCGCTCAGACGAAAGCACCCTCACCCTGGCTATCACCGAGTCGAACTTAAACACCCGCTCGAGGGCGCTCACGCATTTGCCACAAACAAACTCGCCCTGCCCGCTGCCTCGTGGTACAGACTGGCCCAGGATGTGGGTCAACACCGCGAGCACGTCCACGCTTTTGGACGGCGAATTCACAGATAACTGGGACTTGGAGAGAGAGCCTGAGGAGCCCAGAGATAATGTGCTGCCTGTGGATGGAAACAGACTTGTAATGTCAGTAAAACAAACCAGAGCATGTAAAGTATTTCTTTATGCTCCACACTCACCCCAGGGGCTGCTCTGCAAGGACTGAGACCGGCTTCCTCCCCTCAGGGACTCTGTTGGGGTCTGAAGGTGGCTGCTCTTCCTATTCTGGCCCCCAAACAGCCATCGCCGCTGGTTTCCCTGCAGAGCTCCGCCACATATTCGGCACAGGTCATTCTTACCTCTGGAGGACATTGTAGACAAAGGGCTGGCGCTACCCTCCAACAGATGTGGGAAACGATCTGTGGAATAAAGAAGAATTTACAGCAGTGGTTCCCAACCCAACTCCACTTTAGCTAAGACTGCAGTGTCACAACAAATACTGGTAAGCTGCCACAACAAGGTAGAAAGGATCTGAACAGACTGCACCAGACACACCTGTTCGTTAATATTTAGAGGTTTCTGGAGCTCAGAGCAAAACTTAATAAATATGACATTTGGAGTTATGTCGTAAATAAGGTGTAAACTCTTATATTTTAGATTTGTTGTCACCTGGAGTAATATACAATTAACAGACTGATCAGCTCCTGGAGTCGTCCATAGAAACACTCGGCTGAGGGAAGACAAACAGCAGCCGTCAGGGCGCCGAGACATGCAGGTCGGGCCGCCCAGAACACTTCAAGAACGTTTCTTCAAAGAGCATCAAACACTGATGAAGACCACGCCAAGGCAGGAAGTTAACAGCAGCTCACGGATCAGTCCCAGAGACACGGATCAGAGACACGAATCAGAGACACGGATCAGTCCCAGAAACACGGATCAGAGACACGGATCAGTCCCAGAAACACGGATCCAGACGTCTGAGGTTTCACACGTAACAAACCCATAGAACCGCCCTGTCAGCTTCAGGTTGGGTCTTTGTCATTACTCAGGAGCGGGTTCTGGCTCGAACATGTGTAACTGAACTACTTCAAATGTGCCGTTGTGTAGCATGCAGTAGCTCTACAGGAGTTTGACTAGAGTGCTGGGCGAGCTGGTGTGCTGGAGCTGCAGTGGGGGATGGGAGCTGGGGACTGAGTAGAGCTGGATGTTGTAGAGTACAGAGCTGCATGGACGCCGGTTTAGGGCAGGAATGGATGATGTTCATGGAAAGAAGCTTCAGCTAACTTTCACACACAGAGATGAGTTTGTAGCCATTTAAAGGCCTGAAGCAGGAAAACAGCCGGTGTTGCTCTGGTAGCAGCTTCTGTTGCTCTGGTAGCAGCTTCTGGAGCTCTGGTAGCAGCTTCTGTTGCTCTGGTAGCAGCTTCTGGAGCTCACGGCAGGCACACAGTGAAAACACACCCACTGGAGGCTTCAGCTAAAGGTGAACAGGACAGCAGGCCTCTGTCAAACAACTGTTCAGTTAACTCATATGGAAGACGTTTTTCTGTGCTGCTGCTGGATATTAGCTGTAATTTAACAAATCAGTCTCATATATATATACGTGTATATATGTGTGTGTGTGTATACATATATATATATATGTATAAAACCACTTCTCAGTCATATGCATATTTGTTTCTTTTAAATAAAATCTGATTTTGTGCAGGTTTATACACAATAAAAACTTTTTTACAGTTAATGTGTAAATTATTCATTCTTATGTTTTTCACTAGTTATCAATCACTTTTAGAATGTAATTAAAACTAAATCAGTGCGTTGTTGTCCTACTCTTGTTCCTGTGACCCACTGTGATGTGCACACTGGACCAGGGCTCCAGGCTGCTGCTGCTGGATGTTCGGCTTTGCAGCTGTCCTGATGGACCGGACCGGCTCCGCTCATCACACTGACACATTAATTGCCTCCCCGCCGCTTCGCCCACTCTCTGCTCTGCCCTGCGTGTCCGCCTGCTGACAGAGGCTCCCCACAGGGCGGGACACGTCGACCTTGAGCCACGCTGACAGTGAACTGCAGCCAGACTGTCGATGAATGAAGCTTTCTGTCCGCCCCCTCCCAGCACGGCTCCCTGCACACGTCCTAAACTCACCGGATCCAACCGAAACGCGCCTTGACGCACCGAAAACAGTCGGAAGAACAAACCGCACCAACATGTTCCCAAATGGAAACTCTTCCCCATCCAGTGGAAAACAGATGAACTCTCGTCTATTTAATTCTATTTTAAGCAGCTGAGGCTGCCGCGATCCAGCGTGAAAGTGGCGTCAGCCTGCGAAAGTGTTGGAGCAGCGGCCAGAGCACCGTGCGCCCCGGCTCTGGTTCGGTCTGCTCTGACGCGTCACAGACGGTCTGAAGTGTCTGAAGCCAGAGTGAAGTTTACCTCTCGGTCCTCCGGTCCGACGGCTCAGCGGGATCACAGCTCACAGTCCGGCCCAAAGCTTCATGGTCGCGACAGAAAGGAGGCGAAGCCACGACAAGTGGAGGAAAGAAAAGGTTCCAGACCAAATCTCTACCGGGAACTGAGCGCAGCCGCGTTTCAACACACCGGAGTGGAGGAGGGAGGAGGGAGGAGGAGGGGAGGTGGGTGTCACCTTCCTGACGTCAGCAGTCATACCTGTTGACAGCAGCAGGAGGACCCAACGCCCAGCTGCTGCTGCTGAGGAACCAGTCCGGCGGCAAGTAGCGGAATTCTGATTTCATCTTGATTTTTAATTTGATCTTTTCCTGAAGCTGTGCGCAGAACTCCTGCAGCGACACTCCTCTGTTTGGTCTTTAATGTTTTATCTTTCCCTATAACTTTATTCAACACCCCTTTAAGTACATGTCTCTGATTTGAATTAAAATTAAATTAATTTAAAAATAAACCAGAACTCTGCGATTTTCATCTCGTCTGAATTCTGAAGCCGATTTCTCTGGTGTCGGTTGTTCTGACAGTCAAACGTAGTGAAGCCAGAACTAAATGAATGTTAATTAGTTTTATCTTTATTTCATGTCACTTTATCATCCTGCACCTCCTGGCAGTGACTCCTGTCTGCTTAGTTTGTTATTATCATTATTTTATTCTTACTCTATTCTATTATTTGTGCTTTATTTTAATTTTGAAATCTTTTTATCAGGTTTTCATTTTATTTTTAAATTAAATTTTGTTTTATTTTTGACCATTTGCCGTTTGGTTTAATAATGTAGACGTGGCTCATAAAACACTCGCTCATGTTCTGTGACACGAGGCCAAACCCGGCATCCTGCTCATCGTTAGCATGCTGCACCTCCTAATGAGTTATTGATCGTTTTCTGTTGTTTATCCATCAGCTGCTTTTCTCCTGTTGCATTGATGGTTAACGATATTATTTCTAATAAGTCACATGATGAAATATTGCTGACATGTTGTCTTTGATGAACACTTACAGCTGATGAAAAAGTTTGTGTGTGTGTGTGTGTGTGTGTGTGTGTGTGTGTGTGTGTGTGGACGCATTTCCTCTTTTACTTTCCTTCACAATCAGCAAGTCAACAACCATGGATCGGTTCATTAAGGAAGATCAATTGGTGTAACTGATTGATCACAGCCACTGTGCTACATTAATCTAATCATGTCTGGAGGGCAAAGGGTGGCCGTGTTCATGCTGCCGTCAGCACAGGACAGACTGCAAACACATCTTAAAACTCACAGATCTAGACCGATCCAGTCAGTGGAGATCCGGTTGTTTAAAATCTTCTCGTTTTATCAAGGTTCAAACTCACCAATAGGTTCTCTGTAGCTCTGTCCTGTTGTATAGAACTGTGAGTTTAACATGAACACAAACAACAAACAAGAACTCATCATCAAGCTCTGCAGAAGCCTGATAACCATCCTGATCATTAGAATCAGGTGTGTTGCAAGAGGGAAACATCTAGAACATGCAGGATTGTGGCCCTCCAGGACCAGGACTGGACACCCCTGAACTAGAGCAATGTCAACCTGCAGTGTGGAGCTTTTGTCTCCCCCTGCTGGCAGTCAGAGGAAATACAGAAACACTGAGCGATTCGGAGAAAGTTTTTCTTTCTGCGTTTTTTTATTTTTTCAACCAGACTCGACGACAGGCCTTCATGGAGGAAACAACAAGGATTAATTTACAGTAAAAGATCAGAAATGTAGTGCAGGTGATTGGTTTAGCAGGTCATCAGGTCTGACATCAGCTAGATGTTGACGTGATGATGAGCATCAGGTTATTGGACTCATCTTGGCTCTGTACTGTGATCGTGGCCGTCTACCCACTAATGCTGCTTAACAGTGAAATCAGCTGAATCTGACTCCAGTGAGTGATGAGGCCTTCATGGTGGGGATCACACAAGCAGCAGCTCCAATCATGGCTCTTTTCTTCTGTTGCACAATCAGCATGAACAAGCGTAGCAGCATCTGTCAGCAGTGCTGGTCCTCAGCTGGAAACTGTCTGGTACCAGCACCTGGTTCTATATGAGCCACTTCTCAATGCAGCTGCTGAACACGCTGTAGTCGGAGTGCCAGTGAGTGTGCTTCACACCAGCACGAGCACACAGCGCCACGTCGCCACGCACGTCCAGCGTCTGCAGCCCAAAGGTGTCCTCCTTGTAGAACTGTCAGAGGGAGAGACCAAGGAAAGGACACAGTGAGACTGAAGATCAGACTGACGGAGAGTCCAGCACAGAATGAAGAGGGGCTTGGAGTGGGAGTTTATCAGAGGTGTGACGACAGCAGAGCAGACAACAGGAACACTGATGTGACGCTCACCCACTGGTCTCTCATCTCCACCACGTTTTCACTGCTGTCAAAGAAACCAAAGTGGCTGTGCACAGAGAGGAAACAGTCAGTTCAGGAACCCAGAACCCAGCCTTGACATGTTCAAGCTGCTTATTTTTCATTTACTTGCACCTGAGTATCTGTCCAGGTACCAGTATTGTTGTCATGTCAAGTCAGGACAGGCATCATAAGTCCATTTGACTTCATGCTATTTGATTATATATATATATATATAAATGCTCATAGTCCTAAAATCCTAAAATGTGGTGAAACCTGGACTGCCATGGTGTGATGACGCCATCATCCGGTCCTCCAATCAGCACCAGCTTCTGGATGCGCAGGAAGTTCTTCCTCCAAGCTGAGACAGTGAAATAAAGGAACATGTCTGTTTTAGTGCACCAGCTTGTATCCAGTGCATAAAGGCCATGCTGGTATGCTTCCACTACCTTTCATGTCCTTGTGAGGTTTTTCACCATCGAGCAGTGGCAGAAAGTTGCTGTACTGCAGGTAGAGGGATCTTTGGTGAGGGTCTGTGGAGAAAACAAATACATGTTGGAGCATCTTTTCAGCAGGAAACGTAAGGCGATGTGAAGGCTCCTCTGTTCTTACCCTTCCAGTAGTTGCAGATAGATATTAACTGTCCACTTTTTTTGTAGCAAGCAAGATACACTGTCTTCTTCAAGTATTTAGGAAATACCTGCCTCAGGTATTCTGTTGCTGTGGAACCAGACAGCGAGAAAGAGTTTAAAATGTCTTAATTCCCTGCAGCTTCTTTATAAATGCTTTGAAAGTAACATGAAGCTGTCTGACCTCCATATTGTCCAGCCAGCGGGGATGAAAGCGCGATGAAGGTGTGAACGTTGTGGTTCGGAATCGTGGAGAGAAGAGCTCGACATATCACGCCGCCTTTTACAAAAGCAATAGAGGACACATTAGACACGACATCAACAAGTTCTGACTGAACCAAAGCATATATGGTTTACTGCAGTGATCCTCACTGTTGTTTAGCAGACCAACATGTGCTATCACTGTAATAAAAACATCTGGCAGCAAGGATTCTGGGGTCTCCTCCCAGGTGAACATGTTTGGAAGACCTCCAGAGGAAGCCTCTCCAGAGGCATCTGAACCAGATGTCCAAATCACCTCGACTAGCTCCTTTTGACGTGCTACTCTACTTGGAGCTCCTCACCCTGTCTCTAAGGCTGAGCCCAGCCACCCTGCAGAGGAAGCTCATTTCGGCCGCTTTTATCCACCATCTTGTTCTTTTGGTTACGACCCAAAGCTCGTGACCATAGGTGAGGGTCGGGACATAGATGGACTGGTAAATTGAGAATCTCTTCACCACCACGGTCTGATACAGCGCCCGCATTACTGCTGACACTGCACCGAGCCGCCTGTCCATCTCACGCTCCATCACTCCTGAACAGGATCTGAGATACTTAAACTCCCTCGCCTGAGGAAGCAACTCCCCCCCAACTCAGAGGAGGCAATCCACAGGTGTCTGGCAGAGGACCATGGCCTTGGACTTGGAGGTACTGATCCGCATCCCCCCACTCGGCTGCAAACCGCTCCAGTGCATGTGAAGGTCTGATGAAGCCAGCAGTACCACATCATCTGCAAAAAGCAGAGACGTGATCATGAGGTCCCCAAACCGGACACCCTCCTCACCCTGACTGTGCCTTGAGATCCTGTCCATGAAGACCACAAACAGGATCGGGGACAAGGGGCAGCCCTGGTGGAGTCCAACACCTACTGGGAACGTGTTCGACTTATTGTTGAGAATGCGGACACAGCTCGCACTTTGGTTGTACAGGGACCGAGTGGCTCATAGCAGCGAGTCTGTTACCCCACACTCCCTCAGTGTCCCCCACAGAGTTCCTCGGGGGACACGGTCAGAGGCCTTCTCCAGATCCACAAAGCACATGTAGACTGGCATATCGAATTCCCACGCCCCCCTCAGCAGCTCCACAAGGGTAAAGAGCTGGTCCAGTGTTCCACGACCAGGAAGGAATCCTCATTGCTCCTCCTGAATCCGAGGTTCGACAATCAGCCGAAGCCTCCTTTCCAGCACCCTAGAGTAAACTTTCCCAGGGAGGCGGAGAAGTGTGATGCCCCGGTAGTTGGAACACACTCTCCGGTCCCCCTTTTTGAAAATGGGAACCACCACCCCGGTCTGTCACTCCACAGGCACTGTACCCGATGCCCACGTGACACTGAAGAGACGTGTCAGCAGGAGCCTTTCGCATCTCGGGGCAAATCTCATCCACACCTGGAGCTTTGCCACCAAGGACAGTTTAACTCCAACTCACCATCAGGTGGTGATCAGTGGACCGCTCTGCTCCTCTCCCGAGTGTCCAAAACATATGCCTGCAGATCTGGTGATACGACTATGAAGTCGATCATGGACCTTTGGCCTACGGTACTCTGGTACCAGGTACACCTATAAACAACCTTATGTTTGAACATGGTGTTTGTTATGGTCAATATGTGGCTAGCACAGAGGTCCAAAAACAAAACACCACCCGGGTTCAGATCGGGCAGGCCATTCCTCCCAATCACGTCCCTCCAGGTTTCACCGTCATTGTCCACGTGAACATTGAAGTCCCCCAGGAGAACTGTGGAGTCCCCAGGCGGCGTCCCCCCCTCCAATCCATCCATTAACTATACACCACTTCATCCTCATTAGGGTCGCGAGGGGGCTGGAGCCTATCCCAGCTGACTCAGGGTGAAGGCAGGTTCACCTGGACAGGTAACCAGTCTATCACAGGGCTACACTTAGAGACAGACAACCAAGCACACTCACATTCACACCTACGGACAATTTACAATCACCAATTAACCTCAGCATGTTTCTGGACTGTGGGAGGAAGCCGGAGAACCCGGAGAGAACCCACGCTGCACGGGGAGAACATGGAGACTCCACGCAGGAAGATCCCGGGTGTCCTCACCGGGACGCCAACCGGCGACCTTCTAGCTGCGAGGCAACAGTGCTACCAACTGAGCCACCTTGCAGGGACACCACCCAGCATTCAGTAAATACTTAACGAGCTGTTCAGCTGTGTACTGCCACGACAGTAGTGAGTTTCACTCTGGTGCTCATCTCAAATTATTCCCTGAAAAATGTCCAGATTCTGTCCTTTACTGTGTCTACAGATGTGTAAATGAGAGCGACGTTGTGATTGAGTGTAGGAGGGAGGACCTTGTGAGAAGCACAGAAGATGGACGCCATCAGCAGCCTTCTGCATGATGGAGGTTAAGGCCCTCCTGAAGCGTAGGACCTGCCACCACAGTGACATCAGACTGGTCTTGTTGTTAAACATGCTGATCGTAGTCACTTCAGTGCCTGGATGCGCCTGGGAATAAAAAACAGCAGATAAGAAGTAAAACTTTAAACTGAGTGTGAGAAACACAGTAAATGCTGAGTGGATCTGAGGAGTGTTTACGCAGAGGAAGTTTGAAACACTTTCAAAAATAACCCTGAACCTGAGGAATCGAAAATCACAGAGGAACAGAAATCACCACCTTGAAACTGCTTTTTGATTCTCACTTTTCTGGGAACCTGACTGCCTTTAATCTGCCGTGTTGGTCCAAAAAAAAATGACTTCACGCCAACTTGAAATGTGGAATAACATCAAGTTTAAAGTAAGACTGGAAGGGTTGCACTCAGATTTACCTTTTAAATGTTCCACAGTATTGGTCAGTCTGCTCCATTTTAACTGATCAATACATTCTGCTGTAACTGATCAATACATTCTTCCTGATATTGGAAAAACACAGGGTGTAATTTTCAAGCCACTGACAGCGTGTCATATCAAACAGCGATTGCTAAAACTTGAATTTTGATTGAAACCTAAAGTTAAAGTCCTGTTTTGAAAAAGTTTCTTAAATATTGCAGCATGTAGTAGAATGTTGTTGATCCATCCATCCATCCATCCATCCATCCATCATCCATCCATCCATCCATCCATCCATCATCCATCCATCCATCCATCCACCCATCCACCCATCCACCCATCCATCCATCCATCCGTCCATCCATCATCTATAACCATCTATACACCACTTAATCCTGACTGGGGTCGCGGGGGGCTGGAGCCTGTTGTTGAACTGTACGAGCTGAGCGTGCCCTGTGCCTGCTGTATATCTGTCCATTATTATTACTCATGCATTAGTCTAAGAACAATATTCTCGAGATTATTTTCTACATTAATCGACTAACTGTTTGGAAAATCTTTACATTTGTGAAGCTGGAACATGAAGGAAAAAGTAGCATGAACTGGAAAATGCCACTACTCTGTAGACCGTCATAGAATGACAGCGTTTCAGTGAATGTTCTCAGACACTGTCCAGCACTGGTTCTGAGTCATAGCTGAAACTCCTGCAAGTGGTGAAACATGCCAGGAGAAGTTAGAACCACTGGCAGGTTCAGAGCGCTGTGATGCTGTTTCTAACCACATTGTCAACCTGCGTTACATCCAGGAGCACACAGCTGCAGAGCGTGGTGAGAGCTGTACCTTTCTGATGTACTGAGACAACATGTCGAACTGTTTCGGTCCATCGAACAGGCCGTGAACGATGACGACCGGTTTGTACCCATCGATGCAAACACCTGCCACCAGCAGCAGCAGCAGCAGTGACCCTTGGAGGACCTGCAGCGTCTTCATCATCTCTACCTGGACACAGCGGAGGCACACTGGACGGTCCGGACCAGGGACAGAGTTGGCCTGGAGGAGAGCGCTGTTGGGTAATTATCCACCTCCTTCTACTGTGTGTTAGCAGATATGAAAGACATGAGTGCTCCTGCTTCCTGTTTCTACTGCAGCGGCTGGTTTCAGGTGGTGTTTAGAACCACATCCGTGTTCTGTGTTCAGCTTTGACATGCTCTGTCAGTGTGGTGGGTATGTGTCGGTGAAGCAGCGGGAAACATTCACGTGACCTCTGTCTGAATGATGCTTACAGTGATGGAGCCTCATGCTGCCGGCTGCCTGCACACGTCTGCTCTACCTTTGTCACGCTTCAGTGCTTCAGATATTCAAACTGATTTAATGTCAGACAAAGATAATCAATGAAAAGACAAAACGCAGTTCTGAAACGATGATGTTAACTATTGAAGGAAACATGCTGCCCGGCCCTGTACTGATATAAGTTTACCATGATCACAAACTGCACAAACACTCAGTCTGGCAAAGGGTGACATGCTGCACTGGGATTTCTCTTGTTGTGGGTCAAACCAGGCTTCAGAGTATGGCATCACAAACGGCACATGAAGTTGTAAACGTGCCTAAACCTTCTGAATGGGCATGGGAGAAACAAACACTACAGTTGTGTAGTTTTGACACACAAAGAAATCACACGTGAACAAACGGACTGAAATCTGCCAAAAGACTTTAATACACATGAGAGACGCTCTGCATCGCGTTGCATCGCGTTGCATCTGCTGTGGAAGCGTGTTTGAATTCACTGAAAGTACCTCAAACGTCCAGCAGAGGGCAGCGACAGGTCGACCATCGGACCACTGCACCCATGTGGAGGATGTTTCTGTGAACGTTTGCTGATCAAAGCACACCAAAGCAAACAGGGATTCACTCAGTGTAGAAGCTGCCTCTAATAAAATGGACGTATGACTGGAAACTAAACGTATTTTGTTATTTCAAAAAGGGATAAACTTGAATAACTTCACTCTGTAGTGTGGAGCTTTTGTCTCCCCCTCCTGGCAGTGACAGTAAATACAGAAGCACTGTGAGAGCTTATTTATTGCCGATGTTTTCTCTAATAGACCTAAGTCCTTCCTCTGCATGTGGAGTTTCTTTTTAATCTGGAGCATCAGAGGCTTTGCTGGATGCTTCCTGGGTTCGTCATCCTGCTCTTGTCGCTGAAACCCGATTTACAGCTTCGATATCCTGTGAAATACAGAAAGATTCACCTGCTTCTGAAAAGGCTCAGTCATCATTCTGTGAATTAATTTGTCTTTAATGTAATTCATTTATAAGTAAAAGTCCAACACTCCTGCTTTCACTGAGTGAAGTTCTTCCCAAGGAGAGAAATCTGATGTCATCTATCGAGGAAAGTCAAACATCTGTTTCCATCGTCAAGAGGGAAGAAAAGCAAACGCAGACATGCTGATGGGGATTGTGCTTTGGACTAATGATATATTTTAAACATTGTTTTGTACATTTTTGTACATTATTGTTGTCCAGCTGTAATAAAAGCAGCCAGGAGCTCTGTAGGCACATTGGTGTTTGGAGCTGAAGACCAGCCTCAGCGTGTCAGCAGGCCACCACAGGAACGTTTCCACTGTCACCAGCTTTCTCCGTTTGGACTGAGAGAGGACCAGGATGGCTAACATTCAGCCTCATGCTAGTTATTCACTCACATAAACGCAGAGAATGGGCTGCAGGTGGATCAGTGGTTAGCACCGTGGCCTCACAGCTAGAAGGTCGCCGGTTGGCGTCCCGGTGAGGACACCCGGGATCTTCCTGCGTGGAGTCTCCATGTTCTCCCCGTGCAGCGTGGGTTCTCTCCGGGTTCTCCGGCTTCCTCCCACAGTCCAGAAACATGCTGAGGTTAATTGGTGATTGTAAATTGTCCGTAGGTGTGAATGTGAGTGTGCTTGGTTGTCTGTCTCTAAGTGTAGCCCTGTGATAGACTGGTTACCTGTCCAGGTGAACCTGCCTTCACCCTGAGTCAGCTGGGATAGGCTCCGCCCCCCATGACCCTGGTGAGATGAAGGTGTAGAGATGATGGATGGATGTGTGACTGTTTTGGTTGCAGTCTGGAACCCTGGCTAACACGCTGATGTTTAGCTTTGTTCACCCTCTTAGTTAAATAATAATTCTTTTTCTTTCTGTATTTTTTTTCTCAGCTGGACTCAAAAACAAACATTTAAAAGGATTAATTTACAGTAAAAGATCAGAAATGTAGTGCAGGTGATTGGTTTAGCAGGTCATCAGGTCTGACATCAGCTAGATGTTGACGTGATGATGAGCATCAGGTTATTGGACTTCATCTTGGCTCTGTACTGTGATCGTGGCCGTCTACCCACTAATGCTGCTTAACAGTGAAATCAGCTGAATCTGACTCCAGTGAGTGATGAGGCCTTCATGGTGGGGATCACACAAGCAGCAGCTCCATCTCTTACATCTGGAACAGCTGGAAAGCGTCTGCGGGGGGAGGGAGGTCTGGAATGACCTGCTCTGCCTGCTGCCTCTGTGACCCGACCCTGGATAAGCAGAAGAAAATGGATGGATGGATGGAATTATATGTTTAGTAGATTTAAATGCAGTGGAACTGCCTAATTTTAAGATCACACATTGTGAATGAACAAATTTGCAATTTACTATTTGCAAAAATACAGATTTTGTTTTTGTTTCGTAACTTTTTTTCCAGTGATAGGTGGAGATGATTTCACTTGATATGACTGAATATTTTTCCTGTCTTCCATCCTAAAGTCATGTAGTCGACTGCCATAATTGTTTTATTCAGTAAATATTGTAGTTTTAGAGTGAATCGTCCCTGTTTTTCCTTCTTTAATGGGAGGCTATGAACACATCTGGGGGCGACTGTACGTATAAATCATGTTCCAGTTTTCTCATAGATCTAGAAGCCAGTCTCACTCTGACCAAACCTCAGTCGCAGATGTGACGAACCAACAAAACAGTCATATGTAAAGTTAAAATGGATCGTTACTGCAATGCATCATTTATCTATCAGTGTTTTTGGGACTAAATGAGTCATGTTTGAGCTTATAAAATGTTGTCCATCACAGTTACCCAGAGCTCAGACTGGTGGTTTTAAATCTCCTGTTTTGTCCAACTGTGTTTAAAACCAGATGTTCAGTTTACAGTCATACAAACAGAGATAAAGCAAACTGGGGTTTCTGTTTAGCAAATTATTTTTTGAACTTATAATTACAATATTGATGAAAGTCAGATGAATGTATTTCATTTGCTGTGTGTAGACTTTACTTTCTAGCTACCCAGAAAGTAGACCAGACTGAAAATGGAGATGCAGCTTTTATTGGCTGTGCTCCTGAGCGGTGGAATCGGTTCACCAACACGTCCAGACATTTTAACCCAGGATTCCTCTAAAATGATATGATGTGATGTCATGTTGCTCTTACCTGCTGGCATGGCGCTGCACAATGCTGCGGTAGCCATGCTGGTTCAGTGTGCCTTGAACTTTGACAACAAAGCCCCCCACACCATCACAGCTCCTCCTCCAGGCCTCATGGTGGAACCACACATGCAGAAACCATCACTCACCTTCTCCGGACTCACAAAGATGCAGCGGTTGGAACCAAAAACCTCAAATTTGGACTCATCTGACCAACGGATTCCCACTGGTCTAATGCCCATTCCTTGAGTTTCTTGGCAAAAACAGTCCTGTTCTTCTCCTTGTTCATCCTCAGTAGTGGCTTCTTTGCAGCAGTTCCACCACGAAGGCCTGACTCCTCTGAACAGCTCATGTTGAGAGTCGTCTGCTACTTGAACTCTGTGAAGAATCTATGTGGGCTCTAATCTGAGGGTTCGTTTATGGTTTCTGAGGCTGGTGACTCTAATAAACTGATCCTCTGCAGGAGAACTAACTCCTGGGCTTTCTGTCCTATGGCGGTCCTCATCAGAGCCAGTCTCATCAGAGCCAGGTTCATCAGAGCCAGGTTCATCAGAGCCA